CTGCCAGTTCTGGAGCAGCGTTTCACATTTTCTCGGAGTGAAGCTTAAGCCATACTTAGACGTTTCCCTTGCCAAGCGGTTCAAAGCGTCCTGGACGGATTGTCGGTCGTCCCCCAGCAAGGCGATATCATCGGCGTAGTCCAAGTCCGTGACTCTGTCTCCAGAGAGGAGCTCAACACCGCAGTCCTGGACACCTTCCAGTGCTCTTTGGACAACATCTCTGATGGCGAAATTGAAGAGGAAAGGTGAAATAGGGCAACCTCGGCGAACACCGCTGGTTATAGCAAATGAAGAAGATTGCGTGCCGTAAGCTCTGACTGCCTGACGTGTCACTGTAAAGTTCTTTCAGGATAGTTACAAACTTGTCGGGCACACCTTTCTTCAGTAAACACTTCCACAACGCAGATCTATCTACTGAATCAAATGCCGCTCGGATGTCCAAAAGCACTACGATTGTTGGCCGCCGGTAGATGTGGCGAGGTTCGAAAAGTTGATGAAGCGTGAAGATTTGATGGACGCAGTTGCGGCGTGGACGAAATCCGGCTTGTTCTTCTCGGGAAAACGCCTCTCTAGTCGTTGAAGGCCTGCTAAGTAGGACCGACACAGATTTTGGATGCGACAGAGATTAAGGAGATTCCGCGGTATTTGCAGCAATTGTCGCGGGAGCTCTTCTTGTGAATCGGAACAATGACCGATTCTCCCCATGAGTTCGTAACTTTGTCCTCAGTCCAAACTTTCGTGAACAGCGATAGAATTTCGCTGACAAGTACGTTCCCGCCATCTTTGAATAGAGATGGTGGTTGGCTATCGGGACCAGGAGTCTTATGGCTTTTCAGAGATTGGATTGCATCTCGGATCTCTGCTTCAGTTGGGAGGCGTGTGGAGACAGGCCAAGCGTCATCCGTTGGGGCTGGAGGTGCCACAAAGGACTGTGTTGGATGGTTAAATTGAAGAACGAAGTGCTCTGCCCAGCGACCCAATCGTCTGTAAAGGTTGGTGATCTTCATGCCGTCTGTATCGCAAATCGTCTGGCTGATAGCGTTGCAATTGCAACCGGTGTCCCTGGTGATGAAAACTAGACGGCGGAAGTTGTCAGCTGATCCAGCGACTTCCATCTCATCAGCTCGTTTTGACCATCAGGACTCGCAATCAGCGAAGGCTTGCTTTCAGCTGTTGCATAATCCACTGGAGGTGCTCTGCACCAGCAAGCACCACCTGTCGGCGATCCAGCAATTCTAACGATCTTGCTGAGATCCAGCTTTCTGGTGTGGAGCGAGCAAGACCGCAGCTGGACAAACCGGCCGATAGCATGGCTTGCTGCATAATTGACCAGTGTTGCCCAACATTCAGAGTGGCAGAGAGAGCGAGCTTTTCACTAAGGCTTGGTTGATACTCCTTCTTCACCATTGGATCCTCTAGCTTGTAGGTTTCCAGTGGGGTGTGTTTGGACATTGGTGAACTACCCGAATGCTTGCAAACGGTTGCTTACAAACGGTTGATCAGTATCGAGGCATGTTGACCAAAATGATCGACAGTCGCGTATGCTGCCGCGTCTCCTGCGACTTATGGCTGTGGTCAATCTATGACCAACACTGAGTTGATGTGGCGTCCAGGATGACGGAAGCTCGTGCTGGAGAGGAGAAGCTGATGATCAGCACACATACTGAGCAGTCACTCTCCGTTGTCTAAGCGAACATCATCATTTTCATGCGGTGCCTCGAGGTGGCGCTCACATGGCAGCAGCCGACCGAAGCGCGCGTTGAAGTCTCCTGCCAAGACAATGTGTCTGTTTTAGGGGCCCTAAGGAGCAGCGCACGAAGGTTCTGGTAGAACTGGTCCTTGACTGTGTCCGAGCTACAGTCATTGTGCGCGTAGTTAGAGATCACGAAGAGAGCACGCTTTTCGACTCGACATCTGCTATCATTTCAAGAACCATGGAGCCTCATTGCACAAAGGCGACTGTTGATCGGACTCCAATCAATCAGAGCAGCGTCGGCTATAGCACTGGTAGTGATTCCAACATCAGCTTGCCCAGATGCGGCAGACTCGGCGTCACCATAGAGGCTGAGATGGAAGCGGATGCATGGGTGGAGCGGTGACGCCAGCTGCTAGACCGAGTTAGGGTCCTGGAGTCGCGTTTCACTCAGGCAGCAGACGTCAATTTCAAGCGTCTCTAGCGTGCATGCAAGTCCAGCTTGCTGACCGATCTGCGGTAGTGTGCGTACATTGAAGGCTGCTAGTTTGAAGTGCGTTCCGGGTTGCAGGAGCGAAGATGAGAAAATTCGGGGCTGACAAGTGTGTTGAGCACTGTGTGGATGAGTTGGCAGATGTCACGGGAAGAGCTTCATGGGTGGAGGTGGTGGCACCAGCGTGTCCGCAACGATGATGTGCGTAGGCGAGTACTAGGTGTTGATAAGCATGCTAGCTCCCTAAAACAACAGATAGCGCTGTTTAAGTTGTGTTGGCTCGGACACGTGCTACGTATGCTTGGTCACCGCTTACTTAGAATAGTCTTGTTTAGTCTGCCAGGTGTAGGGTGGCGCAAGGCTCGAGATGGACAGAAGTTGACTTGGCAGTGGGAAATGAAGTTATTGACAACCAAACTGGGTGTCGTTGGTCCGTCTCGCCTTCCGGGTTGGAGTCCACGTGACTCGCCTTGTGCTTGGCTCGAGACTTTACAGGACATGGCGCGCAGTAGACACCAGTGGCGCGTCTGCTGCCGTCTCCTAATCTGATTGTCTGTTTAAAGTGTGTTTGGTGCTGAGTTATCTGCGGAGTAATGGCTGATTATGACACGTGGCAGTGAAAGCCGCAAGGAAGCTGTCTCGCCGATGCCGCCTTATCTTTGCACGATAGCCAGCTGTTTGTGACGGTATGTTGTTAACACAAGGTGTAGGCGCCTTGACCTTGGATGTTTGCTTAGGGCATTAAGATTTTCAGGTAAGTCCCCTTTCTCTCCCTCTTCTTATTCTTTATTTCATAGGTCCTCATGGTTGTATGGCAGCGAAGCATCAGTTCAAATGGTTGATGTACTGCTGTTGCTGATGATGATGATGACGGCGATATCAGCGGCGGTGTCGTCTTAGAGGTGCACAGGCGCTTGCTTCACTGTAACGAAACTTCTTTGTTTTGCGCTCCCTGCATCGGAAATATCGAAACAGGATAAAGCTGGGGTCGCCGAGCTCAATGGCCTAGTGATCACTGCGATAGCTGCCAGGCACCATGCGCCGAGTTCCACTCTCAACTCGGTTACCTCTACCTGATGAGTCCAAACCTGGACGAAAACGTCGGTCATAGAGTGCAGAGATGAGAGAGAGCCACACCAAACCCCTCTGCTCGGGTCTTTGTTTTAGTGATAACTTTGGTATACACTTTCTGGAATGGTTAGTGAAAACGTCATGCTTGAAAGCAGGAAGACAGCAATGATCCTCCTTGTGGCCCTGTCTGCTGCATTTCTGACAATGGTGCCTTTTTAGCCGACAGAGTCAGACGAAGTGTCATTCCCCACATCATGCGAGTGGTGGCCTACTTTGCTTCATATATTTTGAAACGTTCGTTGAACTTTCGTGTTGGTTTGACACCGCAGCACGTCTACCGGGCATGGGTTGTGGCCTTGAGCAATAAGGTTCGTGTCCTGCTTCAAATTAATGGGCCTTTTGTATTCGGAAACGATAGACATGTGACTGATAGACAGGTCCTGCTTACTCTTGTTAAGCAACCTCATGTGTATTCCGACAACGCCGAGCGCTTGGAGGTCATAAACCAAATCATGCGCCATAAACTGTTCACCCATCACCTCCTTTGGCTTGAATTTCTAGTAGTGACGGTTGACGTTACTGGCGTAAGAAACGACAACGTCCGAAGCATTTTCAACCGGCTTCCTGTAAGTGTACAAATTGATGGAATGTAAATCCTTGGGGCATTTAAGCGGAATAAAATTGAGGAACTTTTCGTGTTCTTTGGTCCCCAGCTTCCGCAATAGCAGTCTGCGCTTCCATCCGTCGTCAGCATAATCGAACGCCGAGCGGGAAACGTCTTCGTATTTCCTTAACCAAGTTTCGCAGGTCAAACCTTCATCTGGGTCCTACTGAAACTCACAAACGCTGTTAGAGATTGCATTCTTAGTCTTGTTTGCACCGCTCTCTACCAACCGTGAATGGCTCTCTTCAAGTTGCTTCTGTTAGTGTTGTAGTATGGCGATCAGTACTTTCATTAAAAATGGCATTGTTGAGCCTTCCAATCAAAAGTATTCCTTTGCCAGTCGTTATGGTCCCAAAGATCGCTCTGGTCGATTGATAAGAAGACGGCCTTCAGGTACCAGTCTATTCATTAAAAGTGACAGGACGATCACGTGGTGCATGTTATTGATACTCATGTGATGCGGTTGACCTTCCTGAATGTTCTTTGACCTCCTTCACTCTCTGCCTACCAGTATTAGTAATACTGTTTTGGAACACTTTTGGTCCACCGGCGAGATTTTCTTGCGGATTTCCAGGTTAAATGTCCGGATGTAGGGATATGTCACCTTGTTCGATTCCTTAGGAGGAAATCCTCCTCCTAATAGCTTTCAAATCTGGTGCCATCAATTTATGTAAAACCGAATCATTCCCACCCCGCTGCTTTGCAGACAGGCTTTTGACCCTAATTCTTTGGTCGAGGACACTGCTGATCCTTCTGTCTAGGTATGGGCACCTTGGCAGTACCTCAGCCCACCTACAACCATAACTATTTCTTACAACTTCAGCTACTTCCTACATCGACCGTCGTGTAGCTTATCAAGGGTCACATCTGCTGCATACAGCAGGGCGGATAGGCGAAAACATGCTGCGGCTGGTGCCTGCCGGCCCATATTCTTAAGAATCACAAGCCTGTCTTGTAATCTGGGGACATGGGTTCGAGGGTTCCCAGCGACCGGGCGACCTTTGCAGTTTCCTTAGCCCACGTGCTACTGAAGGTGGTTGCGCGGCAGCGATGAATCACTATTGCCTACATGTGTACTACGAATATTTTACCTCTCCTTTTCCTCCCTTCTGTCCTCTCTAACCGTTTCACTTACTCCTCTCCAGATCCTTATTCCTTGTATTCCTTCTTTATTTTCTAGCTCAGTTGGTAGCAGCCGCGATGTCACTGCAGTTCTGCCATCTACAATTATCTTCACGCACCACCCACTGCACACTGGCCAGTTCGCATTGAAGACAGTAAACACTTGGCCGTATTTGACCATCGGTGCCTGCGAAGTATTACTCACCATTGATGGGAACACTGGGTGCGCAATCCTGTGCGCCAGCTGGTTTTTGGCAAGATAGCTTCTGGTGCATCTCTCGAGTTTTCGATCAAACTTATTCCCTTGCGCTAGCAAGGCCATGTCCTCCGTATGCCCGTTGATTGGCTTCCTCGGCCTCGGGACAGTTCACACCAATGGTTGAAGACCGTGTCAGACATGGCACAGTCACGAAGTCAGTGGCTTTCCTGCATTCGGCTTCTTTCATGAGGTTGTTCATTTTCTTTCCATACAGATTAGTTTAAGGCATTTTCTCCTTACTTTTATTTCCTCTACATTCTATCTGTACTCAACCCCACTATCCTGCCGGTGTAATTTATAGTTATTTTTACCGTGTGAGTCGAGGTAACTGTATTCGCCGCACTTTGGTCTTCGGATCATAGTTGTTTAACTTAACTGAACCCACGAGACACCAATCGCCATCATGTAGCAGTCTGGAGATTCCCCAGTTTGCCAGTGTAAAATTCTAACTAAAATTATTTCATTGTACACCTAGGCAACCGGTGTGGTTTGTTGAACTGATTGCTGAGTTCGAATGCTTGACTCGCTCATCGCCATTTTTGCTTGGCGCTCGTTTCGGTTGCAACTCGCGACTGTCCTGTGTGCTGTGCTTGCTCCATTCCCCTAGCTAGAGCGTCCACGGTGTCGTTCCTTTATAGCTAGATAACAGGGAATCTCTTACTGTACCAATAAAAGTTTCCCTGCAACTCGATCTGTCTTCTCGAATCGCTCTGGGCTCCCGGTACAGGCGACTCTCTAAAATCAGCTTCTTATAATGCCACACTGTCCCTTTTCCATGGCGGCGTTCAACTTTGGCAGTCTAAAACAAATAGCTCAACAGACTGCACTCGCATGCACGTTGGGCATATTGGGTTCTGACATAAATTCTGTTTGTGAAACTAGGATCAATCACTCTCACGATGTCGTCGAATTAGTTGCGCGTGGCTTGCGGTCTCGCTATTGGTTACACGCTTTCGGAAACGCTGATGCAGCGATCACTGTTCGAGCTGGGGTTGGCATCGTTCTCAGCTCCAGGCCTGAGTTATGCTTAGTTGGGTAGATTTCCTTGAGCAGCTGTTCGTGTGCAGTCCGTTTGACGACATCAACTAAGGTTGATTCAGGAAGTAGCACTAGACGCTGTTTTTTGGTGGTTTCCTACTGCAGTTCTGATGTTGCCTTCTACCACGAACTGAACACGCTGCTTCGCAATGTTACCAGTTCAGATTTTGTTGTTGCTGCTGCTGTTGCTACCGTTGTCGTCTTTGTCGTGGTTCTTTTCGTTGTTGCATGGTGTGTGAATGCGCAAGTAGGTCGTCTGAGCTCCTCAGTTGTTCAGTTAGGTGGTAATTACCTACTGAACTCCGGCCGGACGGGCAACGGTGAGCGTCTGTTACAGCTGTGTGCGGAGCACCGGCTGTTTCTTAGTAGCACCGCTTTTAAACACACTGTGCGCCTAAGCGCTACTTGGCTTTCGCCTGTAGCTGACCAGCGATAGACGCAAATAGATCACATTTTCATAAGTTCCAGGTAGCGTGGTTTCATTCTGGATTGTCGCTCGTACTGCAGTACTTGCGTCGACTCTGATCATTCGTTGGTACGCTGAGAATTTCTCTCCGTCCTTGGTCAAGCAAACCTACTAGAATGCCCTGCTTACCGAACTTTTGCTCTCTCGTCCTAATGACACTGTGCTTTAATGGAATTTTTTCTCGGCCGCTATGCATTATGCGGGAGCCTCTGCTTGTAGTACTATCAGGCGTCACTGCACCATTCACTGGGTATCAGAGAGGTCGATGAACCTGTTGGCATCCAGAAGAAAACTCTCGTGTAGCTCTAATCACATTGTAAACAGACAGACTTAGGCGCGAACTAAAGCGGAGCCTGTGTGCTAACAATAAAGCCTGGCGGACTAGCCAGTCTTAGGAAGCGGAGAAAGCAGGTGCAGTAGGCAAATGATGTGCTCTTCCAACTGATCTGCACCACTGTTCCCAGAAAACCAGGTGTCAATGAGATCAGAGACAGTGAGAGTGCCCTTATTCACAATAAGGAACGCCGTATAGCTCGTTGGACGGATCACTTTCAAGATTAGTTCAGTTGGTCCCATGCTCCTGGACCATTTCCTGCTCAGGTGGTTCAGGCTGACTCATGTGCGATTAGTTTAGAGGTTCCATCGGAAGCTGAGGTCCGAAACGCGATTGAAGCCCTTACTCGTTTTCTTGCCGCTGTCTCGGATTCTCTCGCACAAGCACTATTTAATGATGGTGGCGAAGTCCTATGCAGAGCACTGATCTCCCTGTTCTATCAGGTCAGGAAGGAAGACACCATCTCAGCTAACTTGAGTGAATCGATTTAGCTTTCAATATACTAGAAGGGCAGACGCGTCGGTTGTGCTAACAACAGTGGTAATAACCTGACGCCGTGGTAACAAAAGTACTATCCTCAATTCTCGTTCGTCGCCCCATTGCGGAACGACAAGCAGGGATTGGGGAAGTCTCTCTTCCGCTTAGGGCACGACTGTATAGACCATATATTCACTGTGGAAGTTACTCAAGCCGCGGCAAATGCCGCCCGCCGACAATAGTTGTGTTCCTTGACTTCAGGATTGCGTTCGTCTCAGTCGATTGATCATTCTTTTCGAGATAGGTGTTCCCTTGAAATCTGTGATCATTCTATCTGCTGTATGCTCGTACCCCACAGGCCGCGTCAGGATCTTGGATGACTTCGGTGTGTTTTGGACAACAAGTGGCTTTCGTCGAGGTTGTACAACGTTCTAATTTTTGTTCAACCTTATGGACTCCATCATAAAGTGTTCTCTTGCGGAGTCCAACGTTACAGTAGTTGAGGTGCTGCCTGGTTTAAACGTATTTGCTCACGATTATGCGGGCGACATTTTCTTGTTTAACGATTCTGCGGCGGCGCAATCAACTCTGAATAACCTCTCTAGAGTGGACTTATTTGGTATGCGCTTCGCACCTCCAAAGTTCAGTGTCTTTGCAGGACCCACTAGCCATTCGCTGAACACTTGTCCCTTGATAACGAGGAACTCAAGGTAGTTGACTAATTCATTTGCCTTGCAAGTGCATCGGCAACGATGGGCGCATAAGTACTGAAGTCAATTCACGTATTGTACAAGCTAGGACTGCCTCTTTGAATCCGCGACATCTTTGGCTTCAGACAGGAGTTTCCCTCCGTCTGAAATGCCGTGTTTACAAGGCCACATTGAGGGCCATCCTACTCTACGGGGGTAAAACTTTCTCCCTTCGATCTGAGGATCTGCGGCGCCTTCAAGTCTTTGATCATCGCCGTCTGCGGAGCATTGCTGGTGTCGGGTGGCACCCGCGTGTCCGCGACGAAGATGTGCGTAGGCGAGCACTAGATATTGATAGTCAAGCTACTTCCTTAGAACAACAGATAGCACTAAATAAGTTGCATTGATTTGGGCACTTACTACATATACCCGCTCACTGCTTGCCAAAGGGGGCCCTTGTTTTGTTTGCAGATGTAGGCAGTCGCCAGGCTCGAGATGGCCTAAAGTTATTTTGGCAACGGGAAGTGAAGTCACTTACGACAGCTTGGTGCCTTCGATTCGTCTCGCTTTCCGGGCTGGAGTCCACGCGACCCACCCGCCTTTTGTTTGGCTCGATACGTTACAAGGCATGTCTCACTCCGCAGCAGTGGCATATTTCTTGTCGTTTTCTAGTCGGACTACTTGTTTAGAGTATGTTTTGCGCTAATTATCTGCGGGTAATGGCAGTGAAAGCCACAATGAAGCTGTCTCGCTATGGCCACCTTATCTTCGCACGATGGCCAGCTGTTTGTGACCGTATGTTGTTGACAAGTTGAAGGCGCCTTGACCCTGAATGTTCGCTTGGGGCATTTAGGTTTTCAGGTAAGTCCCCCCTTCTGTCCCTCTTCGTTCCTTAGGTCATTGTGACCGTTTGGCAGCGAAGCAAGTGTTCAAATGGTTGATGTACTGCTGTTGTTGGTAATGTCGGCCGGTGGCCGAGTGGTCGGCACGTTTGCTTTCCAACCATAAGGTCACCGGTTCGAATCCGCGTAGGAGTGGGCGTCCTCGCGGTATACTCAGCCCGCGCGCGACTAGTGGTGGTCGCGCGGCAGCGAAGCGCCGTTACGGCGTATAAGCTGACACCTTTGTTGGTAATGATGAAGGCCGGGCCTCCGCCCTATGCCCATCAACTATGCGTGTTTCCCCTGCTTTAATGAATGACGGATTTTTTGAATAGTGCCTCCCACTTACATGCTTCCCATCTTTATCGCTTCGGATGTACACTGGATATGGAGTGTGCGGGTGGCCCATATGTTCCCTCAATAGGCGCCGGCCTAATGTGGCTTTATGCGGTCGCAGTTGGTGGCAAATCTGGAAACAGATCCGCCACCCATATCAAGTTTACTGATCTGTTTGAGCTGGTTGTATTAGATCACTTGCAGAGCGTCGTTTGAATCCCCACACTAAGCTGATTATCAGGGCACTTCATGCATCAGCTGGAATAAACTTACTGATATACTTGATCGCGATACAGTTGTTGACTTCAAAATGTTTTGTATAAAATTTAGCCGAATTTAGCCCTGGCGATTCACAAGGTGTCTTCTAAATCGGTGTCTTAATCAAAATCCTGTCAGCCTAACAAGCGTTGGTCGGCTGCTGGCCGCTTGATTGAGTCCTTCGCCTTGTTACACATTGTTCTTCGGTTCATGTCTGCTTAGATTCGGGCGGCTCGCAACATCCATAGCTCTCACGCAGCTGGTAGCAGCAAAGTGTCGGTACTATGCACTGTCGTACTGCTGGTGTGTTTTCTTACAAGCGTTGCGTTTGTATGCTTAGTAAGGCTCCTCAAAAACCGAATTTGCGACCGCTTTGTTGATCATAGCCTGATCGAAGCGGAACAGCACGGCTACTTCAAGAAGAAATCATGTTACTGTCTTACTGTGTTGTTCGATGAGGTGGCTCGGTTTTGTGGACGAGATATCAGTAGGATGCTGTTACCTTGATCTTGCTGGAGCTTTCCATCCTGTAAACAATCATTTTCTATTGTAGAAGCTGATTTGGTTCGGGACACATTATCAGCTACTAACTTATTTGCCGGAATTTCCATACTGGAGGACTTTCCATGTTAAAATTGGTGATGCCAGCTTAAACCTACGCGCCGCTCATCATAGGTAAAACTGGGGTATTAGCAGTAAGTCGGAACATATTACCAACGGGTTACTGTCACGTGACGACATGAGACAATCTGCGGGCTATGAATATGTGAAGTCGCCAGCACTTGCGCTGCCTCGAACCTTTGGCTATTGTATTGCCAACTAGGCGTATGATGGGCTTTACTCTCCTGCACTGTGGTTGTAGTCATAGTTGTGCGTGGGCTTAACTAATCTCAAGCCGCCCATGCCTAAATATGAGGACGATTAGGATCTTCAATCAAAGCCTTTGGCTTAAAAACCTGTCCGCAAGATAGCGTGGAGGTGTCAACGATTCGGTTTTGCAGAAATAGACGACATCTCATTTCAACCGCCAACTTGAAGGGTCAGTGGACTGAGTTTGTCTGACCTTTTACCATTGACCAACCTGGTAGAAATAGCTCTCAAAGGCCCCGGTGGCATCACCCAGTATGGATCGAAGAGATACGCAAATCGTCGCATCATGTAAAGGTACGGTCTCGTTGCTTCGGTAACTTGTGCCCGTTCACAGCTTATCGCGGATGGCTCTGCGTTGTTTGCCAGATGTAGGGCGACGCAAGGCCCGAGGTGGGCAAAAGTTAACCAGACAGATGAAAAAGAAGTCGCTGACGACTAAACTTGGTGCTGTTGGCCAGTATCGCCTTCCAGGCTGGATTCCAAGTGACCTGCCTTGGGCTTTGCTCGAGACATTACGAGACAGCCCGCACCACTTACATTTCTGCTGTCATCTCGTCGTCGGACTGCCTGTTTAAAGTATATTTAGTGCTCAGTTATCTGCAGGGTAATGGGTGATTATTACGTGGGGCTGTGGAAGCCGCTAGGAAACAGTCTCGCTGACGCCGCCTTATTTTTTTATGATGACCAGCTATTTGTGACGGTACATTGTTGACAAGGTGTGTGCGCCTTGGGCCTGACTGTTCGTGGCACGTCCGTCTCTGTCTGTGATTCTTATTCATTCCTTAAGTCATTGTGGTTGTACGACAGCGAAGCACCAGTTCAAATGGATGATACACTGCTGTTGATGATAATGACGCCTCCATAATTGTGTTTTTCGGCTTCTGTACTAGACTCGTTGCTCTTACTTGACTTACTTCTCCTTGGGGACCCTTGCTGTTTTGTTAATGATCTGGAACACGTCAACAGGAGTAGGTGACTTGGTTGGTCCGAAGCCCTGGGTATTGTAACGGAATGTTGGTTTTATAGGACTTGCTATTCAGCTCCAGCGATGACCTTTCGTTAACTGCTTTAACTGTGGAATCACGGTGCAAACTTGCGCCCTATCCCTGACGTTGCAGCATGTTGATGTAGCACAGATCTGTGTCACTGGGACAAATAGTTTTTAATCCCTGACATCTTACTGCTAGCAGGACGCTGCGGGATATGTTCCGCCGGAAGAGAAGCCTCTGAAGCACGTACTCATGAGTTTTCTTTTCGTCTCTTAAGGCAGCAGCTAGACAACACTTGTAATACTATACAGGCTTGAGCACAGTATGTTTGGAAGTACGTTGTTGGCCTAGAGGAAGCACGACTGACCGCTAGCATGATTAACCGTCAGCATGAAATTCATGGTGGCTAACCAACTTGTTTGGAATTGTTTTCGTTGAAATATCGGAGGTTGAGGATAGATATGGTAAGGATCTACAGTCATGAGAAGTCTTAGTGGTATTAAGTCTCCTGCTGATGGCCAAGTCGCACTATCTGCATGGACATCGTCTTGAGTCGAAACAGCAGAGGTCCATGCCAGATATTAGGGTGAAGAGGCATCAGCACTTCGCCGATGCACTGTACTGAGGGTTTGCTGCCACGCGACCGCCGCCAGTCGTACGAGGACTGGGTATATCGCGAGGTCACCCGCAACAACGCGGATTCGATTTGGTGACCTCAGGATTCCAACACAAACGCGCAGTCCTTTCCGCCACTGCTAACGAATCACGTAGTTGGAATCTGATACTTTTGGCGCTTGAACATAAGTTAGTTGCATCTGTATCATGAAATACCGCAGGGTTAATGCACAACGTAATTGGAACCCCTTTGCAGGCCCTGAATTGCTCACTGATAGGAAGTGGGTTTCTAGTTAAGCAATTGCTTCTGTCGTCCCCGAACCGACTTAACTTGGTTTCTTTTGTTATTGTTATGTAACCGCTGTTTGTTTCGATGTCACAGGGCAAAGATTGGTTGGATGCACCTTCGCGTAGACTGTTACCATTCACACCGAGTTCGTTTTCGATCCATCTGGGTTTAACTGTTTGTTGCATGCTCATTGAAATCTTCTGTTCCTTAATTCCAGAACTAAATTTGCTTCTACCCGCACTAGAACCACTGCAAACAGCAGAAGAAATATTCCTGACTTTTTACTATGGAGAGTAAACTTGATGATCATGTGTCTATGGTGTAAGTTTTTATGTGTTATCTGGTTTTCTATTCTGTCCCTACCCAGTTATCCATGTTAACTTTCATTCTTTACAACTTACCGCATCGTTTATTGACGTGGGCTCAGTGTCGACCATCTTCCGCTGGTCGCATTTGCACAGATATAACAGCGCAAAATCGACTATTCTCTCTCACGACGCAGTCGGCAATGCGGCGAAGCTATGTTTAGCTTGGTAGTTTTTCAGGTTTAGCTCATGAACCTTCTTGGCACCAACGGTTAAGATTTATGTTACTGTCATCCCGTCCCCGGTCGAATATGGGAAACAAATGTGAACTCAATCTCTCGTCTGCGACCTTAAAACTGAGGCGCACTTTTATACTTTTTGTAGTATCAGCAGTACGCCAGTACGCAGTACAAACGCTTCGCTGCTGCGGAACCACCAACAGTCGGCTTAGGCTAAGTATACTGCAAGCGTCGCTCTGTCCCCTACTCAGGCTCGGTTCCACATTCTCGGATTACACGGCAGGGTTATAATGCTTTATGCCATTGGCAGGCGCAACATCCACAGCATTGTGCACCTTTCCTTCAATTACGACTGAAATTTCACCATACTGTAATACTCAGGTCAAGCGGTTACGACCGATGTAATATTTCGTTCCTGCCAGGCGTGTAGCGCACTCATCGTGTTTTATTGACACTTGCCATAAACGCAAACTCTTTGTAATGGATTGTATAAATTATAAGCATCACCCATGTACTGGAAAACGCATGGGTTTAGAAAATAAAACTAGCCACCACTAGCATTATCTACGACTTTTATTCGTTTCGTATGGTTCCACCTTTACTTCATACTTTTCTTCCATGTGTACTAGATTGCTATACGATGCATGAATATACCTTTTTCGGTGATTGACATATATATATATATATATATATATAATATATATATATATATATATATATATATATATATATATATATATACATATCAGGCTGAGTTTCGCACCACTGTACACTTGCGTGTCCTGCTTTGCACAAACGAGACCACGTTTCTTGGTTGGATAGCTTTAATTTCTGGTATTTCCTCAACTATAGTGGTAAACTGGCTGACGAACTATTGCCATACGCTAGCCGGTACCTTGTCTGCCAGGAAGGTCCAGTTGCTTGTCTCACTTAGTCGAGCTAATATGTCGTATCATATAATTGTTCTCGTTTCTTCGGCAGTTCCCACGGGATGTTCTGCATAATAGATATATTCGGAGAGTATGACTACATAATTGCTGCGGCCCAAGGGGACGTCATTGATCACCCTCTCGATCACCAGTTTTCCGTTCATGAATATCCGATCCAGTATAGACGGCCTATCGGTCTTTGAATCAAGTGGGAGTGCTGAGGTGGCCATACAGCGGGGAACTGGAGACAATCTTGTAGATTCACCTTGGACTGTTCTTCAGGTGCGGCTTAGGATTCAAGTGCTTAGGTGCGGAATTCGCTAGTAATATGGCTGTGTCTGTACTACCTTTTTATCACCTTCCTTACTGCGGATGCCAGATTGAAGTCCATCTCCGGCGTGGGGGAGAGAAGACGGTAAACGACCGCCACCAGGCAGTCATTGTCGTCTCTTGAACGTAGCCGGCACCAAATGGAATCTTGTACCGCCAAGACCGGATCCTCTATGGAGTCACCTTGGATGTTTCTGTGAAAGTACAGGTCCAGCCTTCCATTTTGCTGGGTCGGTCGTGCCGAACAACCGACATGCCTGGCAGCGCGATCTCGATGTCACTTAGGTTGGGGCGTAACCAAGTCTCCCTTATAGCGAAGAGATCACAGGCCTATTATCCTTGACGGAATCGGTTCGAAAAGTTTACTTGTTAAGCCTTGGGAACTCGTGTACAAACAAGAGGGCTTCTTGAATGTAAGTTGCTCTTGACAAGTATGTGAATGGTTAATTTGTGCCGGCCTCTCATCGGCTAGCATCCAACTGACTTTTGGGTGACTTGCATTCTGTTTTTGATCTCACCTGTACATGCGGCATATAGTCCATCCCTAGCTTTATCGATAGCTGCTGTTTTTAACGCACAGTTTTCTGGATCCTTGTTGTGTTTATATTGAGTCGCGAGTGGCATCGTTTCCTCGAGGACGGTGATTGACTATGGTCCTCTAACTGCTGTCATCAGTCGTAGTTCCGAAGGAAGCGTGTTGCTTAGCATCTGCCAACTGCGGATTAAGTTAACCGTCATCTGTTGCGACTGAACCTTTCGTTTCAGTGTACGCGGGCCACTGTCTTTGCAGTGAGGCGACACGGGTAACCGTGTAATCGGATGAAGTATGACGCCACCAGCACAGAGAGCTTCAGGGATGTACCGCCATTCTTCCAGATCATGAACATGGGCGTCTTTGTCGCTAGCTGCCGGTTACTCTGTCACTCCTGGAACGAAAATGACTCTTCTGCCAATCTCAGTTTTGTAGTCGTCCGAAATATTTTTGTCCCACTGGCGTTCGCTCCATAAAACATCTAGAGTTATGTGTATCTTATTGCCTTCTGTCCACAGGCGCTATACCGACAAAAATAGCGTCTCGAATACTTCTGTTGATCCCGAGATTTCTCATATTAACCGGGACTGATCGTAGTGCGTCGTGCTTGAATGTCGAGCAATGTGCATCAAATTCGGCATAGCCCTAACTATGCGCAACAAGATGGTTTGTGTAATTCTTCGATCCATTGAGCTATAGTGAGTTGGGTTTCCGGGCGTCTTGAGAATTACTCCTACCTGATTGGCCAATGGCTAGAGATCAGACAAACTCAGTCTCTTTGGTCCTGCGGGTTTAGGCTTTGAACTGGGATGGTATCCATTGAACTAAAGACCGAATCGTTGCCACCTCCCACTTCTTTGCGGACAGGCTTTTGAGCCAAAGCTTTGGTTGAAGATCGTAATCGTCCTCCTGTCTAGCTGTGGGCGCCCTGGCATTTTCTCAGCCCACCTACAACCACGACTATATCTTCAAACCTCAACTAGCTCCTGCATCGGCCGTCTTGCACCTTATCAAATGTCGCTCTATCTGCTGCATACAGCAGGGCGGATAAGCATAAACATGCTGCTGCTTACTCCTCCCTTCTTTCCTTTTCACCTGTTTCCTACTCCCCTCCCAGCCCCATTACTAATCTTTCTTACTACTGGCATCATACCGTCTGCAGCTACCTTCCCACACCGTCCACTGGACACTAATCGCCAACAGCTCCCTTATAGGGTCACACTGTCCCTTTTCCCTGGCGGCGTTCAACATTGGCCGTCTAAGACAGATGGGTCAACAGGCTGCACCCGCACACACGTTAACACGCTGGATATTGACGTGTGTTGTATGTCCGACAATAGGATGTGATCCTCTCGGTGTCCTTGAGGTAACTGCGCTCGGCTTGTCTTTTCATTATTGGTTCCACGCATCCGGAGACGGTGATATGGCAACTATTGGTCAAGCTGGGATGAGCATCGTTCTCAACTCCAAGGCTGGGTCATTGTTGCTTGGTTCGATTCTATTGAACAGGTGTTGGTGTGTACTCCGTTTGACGACATCAACTAAAGTTGATTCACAAAGTACCACGACGTTGTTTGTTGGTCGTTCCTGCTTGTGCGCCCACCGTTGATAGTTCTGACGCCACTAAGAACACCTACCGCGAACTGAGCACGCCGCCTCGCAGTTACCCGTTCAGATATTATAGCTGTTGTTGCAGCAGCTATGAATGCGCAAGCACGTCGCTTGGGCTCTTCAGGAGCTCAGCTTAGTGGTAGTTACTGACTTAACTCCGATTGGACGTGCAACAGCGGCTGTCTTTTACAGCTGTGTGCGAAGAACCGATTTTTTAGTACCACCACTTTTAGGCACACTGGGCGCTGAATTGAATTTGGCGTGTTCCTGTAGCTCGCCATTAACGGACCCAAATCGATCACGTTGCATTAGTTACGGGTAGCATCAACTCTGTCTTTTTTCCATGAACCTTAGTGGGAGGCGTATTAAACGTACCCCTCTTTTGGCGACTGAGAACGTATCTCAGCCCTCAGCCAGGCAAACCTACCAAGATGCCCTGCGTACCCAACTTTCGTTCTCTCGTCCTAATGAGCTTCAATTGAATAGGATCCCGGCCGCCATGCACGGTGCGGGAGGCTCTGCTTGTGGTACTATCAGGCGTCACCGCACCAGTGATTGGATATTTGAGAGGTCGTTGGAATCCAAAAGAAAACTCTCTGCTGGCTCTGAACACAATGTGACCAGACGCAAACTAAACCGGTGGTTGTTTTACCTGTCGAGCTCAAGAAATGGATGAAGCAGGAGCAGTAGGCAACTGTCGTAATCTCTTCCAACTGATGCGCACCACTAGTCCCAGGGAACCAGGCGTCAGTGAGACAATCAGAGACAGTACCGAGGGAATGTGAAATTTACGCCTGTGATTCACGGCAGATATACAGTACGAACACGCCTACATATTTGACCAGTTACCTGGCACTATTTTTAAATATTTTTGCAGTTTTTTCCTTATGCTTCACTCACCTGACCCGCACTGTGTACACAACTTCATCGGACTAGTTCTTCATCTACATACTCCACATTAGTGATCTGATTCTTATCTCTACATCTCTCATTCTGTGGACATAGACTTCGTATAACCTTTGGGCCATATGGGCCCACACTACTGACTCCAACTGTACTACTCCAGCTTTTGGTGCTGCTAATCATGCTATCATGTACAATATTGCAATATGCTGATCATGCCCAAAAGGCGTGCATCGCTTTGTCGAGAATAAAATATTTATTTATATGTACAATTTGGTCAGCACTAATTTGTGGTCAGTGCCACACTCAGCTCTGCGCAGTACATGTGTCATGCACACTTCACCCATATCACGCTGACCTACGATGACATAGTCGAGCAGGTGAGCGTGACATCCCCTGGATGGGTCCCAGTTGCTAAATCACTCGTGGTCCATGCGTGATATCCTACGGTCGTAAAACACAAGTGCATTGTTCTTAAACTTCAAAGCCTGTGTGACAAGCCTCAAGCGGTCCCTATGTGTCTTTCTCATGTAATACCGTAAAGCAATTTCAAGGAGAAGCATAGTCTGGTAAATCATATCGTGGAGATAGAAATTGGATATTGCCCGCCCGTAAACACTGCACTCCTATGACTCGTTATGATTTTATATCATCTCATTATATAGATATAGCAAGCATCGAACCCGGGACCGTTGGTATGTTAGTTTTGACCGCTACTCCTAAGACACCGGGTCACGACGAGCAACGCTTAGGGGTACCGGTTACAACTAACATCCCGGTGGTTTCGGGTTCGATGCCTGCTATCTCCATCTGATGTGATGAAGTACCATCGAAACGCGTCATAGGTGTGTAGTGTTTTCAGGTGAGCAACTTTCAATTTCTATCTGCTTTGGCTACAGTCCTCGTGATCGAAAGACCAAGATTCACTCCAAAGAGAATCCCGATCGACATTGAAATTGCATGTCGCAATCCATCCACACAGCGTGTACTTCAAAATAACCCAAAAATCAATCATTAATCATTCTGACAAGCGGTGGTCGTCGTACAAGGTAACGCTGAGCAGGCAGATCACATGTGCGACCCCGACAACCGAAAGAGTACTAGATTATCAACCACTCGCTGACAATAACACACCAACCCAAAATGGCGAGTGAACGCTTTTGGTGAATAGTCAACTAAGTTCATTATTTTCGCAATTATTATAGAGTAAGTTGCGCTGGTTTCGGTGCCTTACCTTGGTGAATCCTGTTTTGTTTACTTGATGTCGGACGTCGTAGTATTTTTGGTGGGCAAAACTTGACTTGGTATCCGGATATGAAGTCACTGACCATTAAGCAGATATTATTGTTTCCCTGGCTTTCCAGTTTGGAGATTATGTGATTCACTTTGCTTTTAACCTTTACAGGGCATGGCTCGCTCTTGATATCAGTGTGGCATTTGCTGTCTTTTCCTGGTCGGACTACATCGATGAAGTGTGTCTGATGCTGAGTTATCTGTGGTTATGAAACGGGGTCGTGGATGCCTCACCGTTATCCTATCATCTCCGCTTGTTATTCAGCTGTTGGACGTGTATTGTCGACAAAGTGTAGGCGCTTTGATCAAGAATACTTAATCGGGACATTTACGTCTCACACTAGGTCCCCTTCTCTTCTTATCCCCGGTTGCATTGATCATTGTGGTTGTACGATAGCGGAACATCAGTTCACCTTACTGATAACATGTTGTTGCTGCTGTTGATTATTATTATTGTTATTATTATCATATACGAGTATGTGTAAAGAACACTGCAATAAGGAGAGGAATGTTACAAACTAGTTGCGTCAAAGCTTTGACTTCACCACTCATTTTCTTCACGGTGCATTTCGGCATCATGGCCTGTAATCACGTCACTTAGTTCTTTCTCAGCTTCTTCTCTCTACTGCTCTTTAGCATGATGTGCGTTTTTTAGATAACTGCGGTTATGAACTGAATTAGTACGGGAATTTTGCTCTTTGAAACAGAGTCGTTGCTTGTTTTTGCTTATTAGCTGTTAAGCAACCAAGGGAAACACTTATCCCTTATATACGTAACAGCGAACAACGGATGCCTAGGTCAAAACTGCTTGCCTCAATGCGCGCGCGCAACAAGGGCTTCAGACAGAAGCCAACTATGCAGTCATTATCGTAGTAATAAGTGTTTACCGCATAGTCTGTTGATGTGTGAGTATAGGCGTCGACCGGTTTTCCATTCCGAATTCAGCTACCTCTTCTTGGAGAGCATAAAGTGGTGCGAAACTGTTCGCTGAGTTCAGCGTTGGGAAGCGGCGACGTCAAACATCTATCTGCTTTTATTACGTTTGAATTTCTCGAAAACCCCCATGTCCACTTTAAAGATAACGGTGTGTCTGCAATTGAGATTGCATACCACAATCATTCACGCAACGCATGCCTAAGACAAGAGCCAGCAAAATTTGTAATTTGTTCCCTGGCTTCTAGTTGTCAGTTGTTCGGTTCAAGAATTTGCATGTAAACAAATTGTGATGGGTTCCTTCGTTCTCTCTGCACACACATAAATGATTTACTTCATTTCGTTATCACAACAACTCAACTGCTTTCCTTCAGGTTTTCGCAGCCTAATATCACTGCCGTGCAATGCATCAGCCTGGATGGCCTCTGTCTGACTTCTCGTGGCTCTACAAATGACCTCACCTGCGGTCTTTTGAGCAGTGTTTACAAGCACGCACAGTGGAAAGACGATGAGACCGAATCTCCTGTGGTAGTGATCGAACAAGACTCTGGGTCAGTCCACTGTCTATCTGATTGATCGTATTCTTATTCAGGTCTGTTACCCTTTGCTCCTCAGGAGACGTTCTGACCGCCATCCGCAGATCGAAAGCGTCCCGCTGACAACGCTATTTTTTTCTTCTCTTCATTAAGTACTCAAAATCACTCACGCATGTCGTTTTGATAAGATTACATATATGGCATGTTCTTCAACTTTTCGCATTCGTCTCTGGCTCGCTCAGATTTCCAGTATACTTCTTGCTACCGTTTGGGATTCGATCTCACAATTCTTTGAAAAAGTTTCATCGTGACGGTGCAAATATCAGCAACACCTCAACCAATGTCCCGCAATGCAAGAGTGGCATTCTCGTTGCATTATGGTTTGTATTTTTAATTATACGGGAAGCTTGCGAGCATGGTTGGTGGGTAAACTAAACGTGAAGAAACAAAAGACGTAAAACGCGAGCGCTGTTCGACTCTGCTTTTGTTCGTATCAGTATGTGTCTCCAACCAATCGTCCTCGAAGACCCGAATCAGAACAATGAACAGTAGTTTAGGACGGGCAGAAAACCGCTTGCTTGATGAGTCTCCTAGGATGACCAGAGTGAGGATTGTTACACCAAATGACTAACCTAGCTATTCACACAAACACTGTTACGGAAAGGGCTGGTGGGCACTTAGTTCGGTCTGACTCATGTCGTCCTTTGAGTGGAACGGACTATATCTCTTAATGCAAGTGTGATACTATGTCCTCAAGGCGTTTTTGGTAAAACGGTAATGTTGGGGCCAAACTGACTCGAGTTAGAAGGATGTTCTAAATACTGGATACCCGACTGGAGAAAACATTTTTTCGACTATAGTGCGTAGATTTGAGCGTATCGATACCGTGTCTGCACCAGATACCGCAGGCATGAACCGCATACTCAACTTGGGGCTTCATGTAGGCGTTCAGCGTTTGCGGAAACCTTGGTGGCTCCGACTTGCCGAACGCTCTTCGTAAGAGCCCAAGGCGCCGACTGGCTCTTTCGGTGCCCTTTCAGCCTGTTTCGAACAGTTAAGGTCACCCTGCACGATTACCTCGAAGTCACTTTCCTGAGAAGCACGTTGCAACTGCTGGTTCCCCCGTCGATATTCATAGGTATTAAGTGAGGTTCATCGCAGCCAGTTTCCAAATCAGATAGTCGTCCACATGCCCGGAAAAGCACTAGACTGCAATTTCAGCCTGTTGGGGAAACTGACTGCACAGAACCTCACTTAATTACATCAAAATTCCCTACTCATGAGTACATTCATAAGTATGCTGATGACCTTGCTCACAACTTTGTACTTCGTCACGTTGAACTGAAGCCGGTTTTCGGATGAGCACGTATAGCCTTTCTCGAGATCTCTTTGCGCTGCTGTGTTATCGTCCTCACTTGTTGTCATGCCATACCCTGACCTGGTCTACAAATAGTAAGAAGTCAGAATGGAGCCCACTAACAACATCGCTGATGAAAGCTAGGAACAAACGTAACCCAGTACTGATCCTTTAGGCACACTACACTGTCCTTCAGTTGGGTCGGGAATGGAGCTGCGGACTCACACATTCAGCTGACCTTGCTTGAATTTGCTTGTCCAACCCACCACAGTATCACCGATTCCATAGCTTCGAACCTTGTGAAGGAGAATACGGTTATTCAGGCAGTGGAACGTTATAGAGAAGTCCACATGTGCGACATCGGCTTCCATTCTGGTATCTGCTGATTACTTTTAGCTTCCTCGAGCTAGCCGCAAGTTTGTACTGCGGGACTGATATCGACGGAATCTGAGTTGGTACCACCAAAAAATTGTTGCTCTCAATTTATCCCATGTGCGCCTTTTGCGATAATGCATTGCATTACTCTGGATAGCACCGGGATGAGTGTGTTTAAACGGCAGTTAGAGGGCTCCGCATGATTCCCGTGTTTCCGCATGGTTGGAACTGACATTTCATCAAGTCGTCGGCGACATTCTAGGTGGCTGTTTTTAGTGTTTTTGATCTTGTCGTCCACGTCAGGAGAGCTGTGCACATGCAAGGATAACATTGTTTTCGTCACCTTTGTTGCCCTGATCAATACGTGACTGTGTCATAAGCGGATGATATTGCGAATCACACTGGAAAGTGCGCATTGGCCACCTCTTATGTAGATAGCGCCGAACTATCTGCTACACGTAGAACTGAGATTCCGCGCTTCACTCTTTGGCGATTGTTGACGTGCCTGCACATAATTTTCGGCCACATACTGAAATTTATCGCCAAGTCTTGTTGGTGCTGGGGTTTGTCTTCACAGTGCAACTTGACGCAGTGGTTTCCTTGTGTTATGCAGACACCCCCAGGACAGCACACATGGACAGGTTTTGTGAGTTTGACAGACTGATTTCCTTATGGCCATGCATTTTAGAGCCCGGCTCGTCAAAAAAGATTTCGGGCGGAAAAGTGGTTTCCGATCCGTTTACCACTAACTCAATAAACTACTTGACAAACTCTCCAGGTGACATCGGGCGGCTGCTCATCTAGGAAGGACCAGTTGCTTTCTTGAACGAGGTTGGACAGGATGTTGTGGTGAGTGAGCACGCGCGTTTTCTCATTGTTTTGAAATGTATGTTCCGCGTAGCAGATGTAACGGAAGAACTGCGTCGCATGATCGCTGCGGCTACTTGGTGCACCTATATATAGGGTATCAACCATTATTTCCTCATTGGTGCCAGGACTCGCTTCACGGCAGAAGCTAGGTGGTGATCCATTTCCATGGTGGACATTGCAGGGCGACAAACTATTGCTAGTAGATACACATTACCACGTCTCAGGTATAGGCGGCACCAAAGAGCATCGTCAGCATGGATTTCTGGCTCTTCGATAATATCAATATGCAGGCCAGATCGATAAATCAAGATAACGCCGCCTCCTCTGCTGCGTCGGCCGTTTCGTAGAGGTATCGTGCCGAGTACTGCTTTCTCAGTATTCAGCCATGTTTCGCTTGTCGTGACTATGTCCCGGAGAGTGGTAACCTGACCAGTACAAAACTCGGTTAACTTACTGAGAAGACTGTGCGTTGCTACACAGGCAGATGAGGGCCTCGGAGGTTAGAAACGTGTTTGCAGATGCGACTTTGGAAAGTGGGTTAGGTCGACCCCTGTTGGTTCGGCTGCCAGTCGTGTTTTCGTTTAACCGCCGACACAACCCCTAGAGTCATTTCTGGTTGATTTGGATTGCTCTGTGTCCGTAGGTAACCTATAACCTGGCACTTCTTAGGCTGTGTGGGCGTTTTTAAGAGTGTCCCGGAGTTGCACATCTGACCTGTTTGTTCAGTGTTACTTTGCCTATTTGTGATCGGGTGTCCATTGCTTTCATGCGTTTTTCGGATGGCAACATTTTATGCCATGTTGCGATCACCGTTTCCGCCATCGATCTGGATTACAACGTCGCTTTCATCATCCTTTTCAGTTGAATGATAACAGCAGCCTTGATGTCGAATTGGCGATCATATTTTCGAGTGTGAGTACTTCAAAGATGAAGCGCCATTCATCCCAGTCATGCACTTTGGCCTCTAACTCACATGAGCTATTAAGATCGACGACACTGTGAACAAGAATTGACTTTACCTCCTTTTATTTACGGAGGTCTTCGTATTTTGTTTCTGTTTCTGGGGTTCGCTCAAAGGAACATCCGGAAAAATTGAACTGTGTATGGGATGGTACAAAGGTAAGCGTCTGACAAGAGAGCTGCCTCTGCATCAGTTCCTGATTTAAGCGTCACCGCAGTGTATGGAGTTTCGGTGACGGGCGAGGCACATCCTACTGGCCGGTTTAGCTTGGACCATTATTGCTGAACGCAGTGCCCCAGTTTGCGATCGTCCAGCCGCTTGTCTTTTATGAAGTTTGCCTCAGATTCAGGCACACTAAAACATATCACAGTACAGCTGATGAGTCAGAAGACGAATCACTGCTAGTGTAGTGTGCTTTGACGAGTGACTTCGCTGAAAAAGTGTCCGAAGAAATGTTGGACGTCTATAGATTTGATAAGCTTGTCAGCAGACCTGATTGAAGTGACGCATTTCTCCCTTTACACGAGCAGAAATGGACTTCACCAACGCACAATATTTGCTTCTGAAACTTTTTCCTTCTGTTTACGAAGCTGCTTCAGATGGGTGAAAGGAAGCGATTAGCACGGATGAAGATAGTTTCTCTCGGGCGGCAGAATTTCAGCTAACTTGTCATTCGGGGGCCAGTGTGTTGATAATCTGTGTCGAAAAAGCGAACGGAAGTCCGTGGGAAGTGACAATTTCTCTTAGGCGCGCAATTTTTGAAGGGGGAATTGTTTCCATTTCCATCTATGTGGTTTACTCTGTTTCTCTCCCCCGGTTAGTGTTTGATTCAAAGGCGGGCTTGCTTAGATGCTGAGTTAGGTTTGCGGCACGGAAAACGTAGCTTACTCTGTAGCTGCTTCACACAGTGTTGGAGTGGAACGTGTGATCAATTGTTTGAACGCCTTTGAAAGCCTCTCGCTTGAGACCAAAGTGGGGTTCGACGATTGAAATTGCGTAACTTTGTGCGCGTGGTGGTCTATGTACTAGCGGAGCGTTCAAATTTGGCTCTTGCTGTTCTCTTAGCAAGATTATTTTAAGCTACCGACTGCGGATTCTATTTTTTGTTTGTATCATTGAAGCAATTTATTTTTTCCTGATCTAGCCTCAAGGTCAGGGATGTTTTACTTCGTCAAACATTTGAGAACCCTACTCGTTACTGCCTTAACTGTGTGCTAAATCGCATAAAGCCAAGATCACCTTCAAACAAATTAGGGCTAACTGTCTTGGTAAAAAGCGAAGGCATCGTGCTGGCTGGAAATCTGGCCTCAGTCATTGTTCTGTCGACGAAGCGCACATCCCACTGATGTTTTCCACTAATGTGCGTTCGTTTCTTGCTAAAACCAGTGCTCTCAACGCCGTTAAGCAGCGAAACGAGTATGTTAATTCAGGAATCCTTCTGTTGCGAGAAAGTTGTTTGCATGCTGATGTGGTAAATGAGGTTATTCAATTCGATGCTTATTTTCCCTTTAGGTCTAACCACCCTGGAAAGCCCCAGTTTCGTGGTGGGGAGTTATAACTTACATTAATCAATATTGCTGCAACTCAGAAACCGTACTCTTCACATAATCAACGCTTTATATAAGCTGTCATTTAATTGAATGCAAACTGGTTCTTAAGTGGGTTTTAATCAGTCATCGCTCTAAGCGTATGCGTCGCTCCTGACATATCTGCGTCAGAGCTAAACCTTTTTTGAGAACCAAGTTTCTTTAGTGCTACTCTTTGAATTAGACTGTTCTATCTTTATTATTGCTGGCGACTTCAATAGAAAGTATACAACATTCCTGAAGACACTTGGCTTGGTAGGCCCTGTGGCTGTTTCGACCAGATACGTTGCCCAGTTGGAGGCTTTGTGCACCAATAAACGACAGTTGTTTTCCATACAAAACGGGCTGCTTTGAGCAGCTCAAACCATTGCATTTTAATACTGTGTCCAGTCAAATACAGCAGATCTAATTTTCTTCACGATGACCAGACGTCCTTACAAGGATATCAAACGTCGAAATTGCTTCTTTGAAAATATTACGAGGGTTTCAGACGATGTTTTCTTTAGCAGATTATTTGGCCTTCAACGACGAGGACCTGTCGCTTCAATGTGACCATTTTACTTACTACATCCAATACTGCTTTGTTGCCCTTGTTGAAACGATCTATCTAAGGGCGGATAGATTTTCATCACCACTGCTAAAGCAGCTTCGAACCATGAAAGAATGGGCTTGCGACTACAAGTATGCCATCCGTGTCAAAAGCTTACCAGAGCAATTAAATCCGAAAAATAAAAACTTATACGTCGAAGCAGTTCTAGACAACCATAACCGTCGTGATTTATGGGAGCATTTAAGACAGCTCTGTGGTAAGAGCTTTGCAGCTAGAGCGATGAAGTGGATGTGGATAAACTGAATTCTGAGTTTAGTTCCGCCTCACTAAGCTCATATTCCTTGTCCTCACTCATTAACACCAGTCCAGCTACGCTCTTCGATCAGAACAACGTTCACAAAGAACCCAAAAGATTAAAGGCAAACGAACCTCGGGGTCCGGATGTATCTACTTTTTTCAACAGTCTATGAACAGACATAAAGCCATCAGAAACCATGGAACGCAAAAGAAGGTACAGAAATTGTAAAAGAACACACAGCGCATTAAAGTCCGTGGTTTCGTCAGAGGGCGAGATACTACCCGGTTGCCCAAGCCGAAGTAGGGTGTTGACTTAGGGGACACCACCTCGAGCCTTTGGCTGAATAGCTTGCCCGCAAGGCAGCGGAGCGAATTCAGGGAATCGCGCCAATTGGGAGCCGGTGACTGATTGCTCAGTTCATACGTCTTTCGTTTGTTCCTTCGTCAAACACGGGCCCAATGCTCCCCAGAATTACAGCACAAAATTGCTGGAATACAATGCTTCGCTAGGATGAAGCAAGGGGCAGTGACTTTGTTTAGTGACCAATCATTCCGCCACGTCACGGTGTTGTTAAACGGACATATGTGGCTTTTTATGGGGTGAACGCTTGTTAGGTGAAAACCCACCACGTCCTGAAACACTGCCGCTGAACCGTTTGCTGGAACGAGAAAATCCCGAACCACCCAGCTGGTATCACGAAGAGGTCCGGATGATCTCTCTCCATTAGTTTTGAAAGATTGTGCTGATTCTCTCATACTGCCTTTAACAGATCTCTTCAACAAATGCCTCACTATGAGTGTTGTTAGATCTCGAACAACACACTCCGAGGAATATTACACTGTCTGAGATGTAACTCGATTTCGCGTCACTGGTTTTGACCGAATCTTGTTAAATCAGAATTCCACACAGATCAAAGTCAAATGCGCACAGAAACGAAACAAATTGACTTGTTCTGAAAGGTACGTGCGCATTTTCCGACAAGCAACTGTGTGTTTTGTATCAGAACAGCCTCAGCTACAATCAAACTTGTTTTTCCGTGTCGCAGTACATTTGTTACTGACGCTTGTTTCACACCACTCACACGTCCCTTGACTCTGAGACCTATTAAATCAACCGACCATACAACTCTGCTTCTAACTGTATCAGTGTGATTTTGTACCACGTCGGCCGGTTTTGTGTTCGCCAATATACTACTCTTCCGGTGCGTTTTATTTGGGCTCGCGAGGCGAAACATAAGAAACTGCTAAATCATAGCTCTGAGGACATAACAGGTGTGATCCCGGACATTTAGAGAACGGCCAGTATAAACCCAGTACTCAAAATGGATTACAACAGGGTCGTCCCGTTGCGTGTACATCTGTGCTTCTAAAGGTTTTCGCAAAAATTTTAGTTCCGCGGAATTGTGCAGTTGCTTCAGTTGACGATATCTACCGGTTTTCGTATAGACCGCAGCGCTCCACACTGGATGCAGTGGCATATCTTGTTCATTCTATAGCCTCTGCATCAGATCAAAAATGTAAATCTGTACGGTGTATCCTCGTGGATTATTCGAATGCCTTTGGAGGCCTGGATAGGTCAGTGTTGCTAAACCTGCTATCAGAAAATGTTCACCTGGGTGTGTGTAACTTGTTACGTGACTATTTTACGGACTGTATTCACTTCACCAAGTTGAGCGGTACGAAATGCTCTGTCTTCCGTGTCGACTGTGGTGTTCCGCATGGAGTGCATCTATCAACTTTTCTATTTTCTTTGTATTTTGAAATTTTCCCTATACAAACCACGTTTACAGCGTGCAAATATGCTGTCGTCATGTTGGCCCCCACTATCCAGAATTCCTCATCACTTCAACCTGAGTTGAAAGATCTGGAGAAATGGTCTTCAACCAGATCTCTTACGCTTAATGCTTCTAAATGCATTGATGTAATATTTTTTCTTTGTGGCGATAAGTTGCAATCCCTCATACATATCTACTCTACCCTTACTGTGAATAGAAATCCCATACACAGCTTTTCCACGTTCAAGTATTTCGGCGTTTTTGTGTCCCAAGACCTTGGTCCACACATATCTGTAAACGTTTTCAAAGTCCGGAAAATTTCTTTTTATGCCCTCAAACTTAGCTTGCTTTCAGTCCATAGTACTTTTATGTTTAGGTCTGTGACTTCTTGCATTATTCCCTAGGCGTTATACTGCTTTCCTTTCGTTTTTCCCTGGAATGCTTCAGAAATACTACCTCTTATTGATACGATTTGTAAAGCACATTTCTAGATGCAGTGAATTGTCTAAAGATTCCTTAGTTTATTTGATCACTTCTATACATCTTGAGGCCTGCAGTGCTTTTTCTTTCAAGGTACTGACTAATCGCTTTCATCCACTTCACAATGATCTTCCCAAAACGCTCTCCTTCTCTTCTACAGTCGCTCCCTAGCGGTCGCGAAATAGTGTCCTCCTGCGTTATTCGCCTCTAAAGCTTTGGATTTATTCTCAGAGACCTACGTGCTATCATTCGATTTGGCCCCGCGAGCTCCCACCACTGTTCATCTACTGGATCTATCATTCGCGGATAATCAGCAAACTGTGCTCTTGCAATTTCGAAGTCAACCGTATTTGAACCTTATCGAAAGATTTATTTTCCCTCTCGTCGCACAAGAACTCTTGTCGTCTTATTTTAAAGATCTTTTTGAGAGTCACCCGATCAGCTTACTACCATTCCTTCAAGTCGCTGTATAAGGCTATAATTGTCAATTTGGTCCACCCTTGGAACAGCCACTGTCGTCATTAGACTGTATTTTCCAAGTCATCTTGTTTCGCCTCAATCCTACGCTGCATTGCTGCCTATCCATTTACCGGCTGGATCGATAGCACGCACGTCACCTATTTAGCCTAACGTGTGACTCATCTGGACACGACACGCCTGACCCCGCAGACCTCAAACTAGTGCCGATAGCCACCCAACGAAAAGTGAAGCGAAGTCAACCACGATATCTCTGTACTCTTGCTACCATCATCATCATCATCATCATCATACACGTTAGCTAGAGGTGGGGAACACCTCAGCTACCGTGCCGCAATACAAAGAGAAAAAAGGAGAGAAAAAGAACAACTGGTGCAAGCTGGCTGAGCTACCGGTAACGGATGGGCATCGTTCCGGTAAGCTACGAGCCGGCTGCTGTGCATCCAAAAAGAAAAAAATATTATGCAAGATTATATAAAGCTAAATAATGAGATCGTGGTTGAAGGGGGAGGCTAAGAGGGATGGGGTGGGACAAAGAAACTCACAGCACGAACGCCACTGAGGTCGGCTCCTAGCCATGTCAGCAAGTGTGTCCAACCAAACGTGTTCATCGTCCTTTGGACCCCAACCAGGGAGCCGAGACGCTCCAACCGAGGCCAGCTCCGAAGTGAGGGCCTTCATTCCTCTGGACCAAGTCATCGCTTGGCCACCCCTCCTCTTCTTCCATCCACACCCCCGGCGCGCAAACAACACACGTCGCGGAAGTCGGTGGGATGGCATGCGTAACACGTGGCCGAGCCATCGGAGCCTGATGCGTGAAATAACGGTGCTGAGCGGTTCAGTTCCTTTCCCTGTGCCATAAACAAGGCGTCGAACACGCTAATTGCTCACGCGGTGTTCCCACCAGATGTGAGCTAAATTACGAAGGCACCGGTGGTCGAACGTAACTAGCCTCTTCAGGTCCGCTGCTTTAAGCGGCCAGGTTTCACAACCGTACAATAGGGTCGAACGTACTGCTGCATTGTACACTCTACCCTTCAGGGTGAGAGTGATGTCGCGCCGGCGCCATAAGTGGCGAAGGTTAGCAAAAGCGCCCCGAGCTTTTGCTATACGATTCGTGATTTCATCTTCAATCCCACGGGCGCTGATACAACTTCCCAGGTAGTTGAATTTTTGAACGACTTCTAGCTGACCCCCACCAAGGGTGAGCGTAGGAGGCGGTCCAGACCAATCTTGGAGAAACGCTTTGCACTTCGATGGTGCAAAGCAAAGTCCGAAGTGACGGACAGCTAGTGCTAATCTGTCCGGTGCCGCTTGGCACGTTTGTGAGCTGTCACAGATCAGGGCAATATCATCAGCGTACTCTAAATCAAGAAGTCGTTCTCCTGGGAGTAGCTCCACACCTTCTAAGTCGTGTCCTGTGAACGCGATTTCATGACTTCGTCAACAGCGAAGTTGAAGAGGAAAGGAAGGGAAGGGAGGAAACGGACCTGCACTTGTGAGTGAAAATAACACCCCGAATTCCCTACTCAGGCCGAAGAAGCGAGCCAGGCGTCCCAACCTAACCCGAATGACTCAGCCTCTAGCAGTATCAACTTCATTCTCTCTCTCCCCCATAAGAGAAAACATTGCATGCAGCGCGCCTGCCTCAACATCTCTACTGTGTGCTACACCTAGCAGTCTGTTCGCTACACTCGAGAATGTAAGCTACAGTCAACCAACAATAGTGAACAACCCAGCACCGTACGTATCGATTGACGCCAAGCAAACACCGGAAAGAGCACCGGTAACCTTTGTGCCAGGACTGGAGAAAACGAAAGTATTCCAGCACGGATGGCACACACCAGGGCCGTTCACAAATTCACCAAAAACACCGGGTACTAAGCCTCCAAATCCAAAACCAGTGACCACCAGGCGCAACCATGCTCCGCTAAAACTTAAGTGCACAAATGTCCCCGAATCAACATCCAATACAATTAAGGGTAGGTTGACGGACGATCGAAATCAGTTGGGTTCCATCTGTACGTCGATCGGTGTCCACGCTAATCCCACGACCTTAGAAAGAATCTCGCACCACCCAAACGCGTTGCACTACGGCGAACCACGGTTACTTCGGGTAACACTTAACTCGGCTGACGAGGCTGAGGCCGTTCTGCTGTCCGCGAATCGTCTGCGCAACGACTCAAGTGGAGTGCGCATACTACCCGAAATCCCGTGGAAAGAACGTTCTGGGGATCCCGCCAACAAAGATAGGTACAGAATAAGTCAAGATAAGAAAACAGTGATTGCTCACGGTGTTCCTGAGCTTATTGATTCCAGTTCCGACGATGCTCAGATGCACGACCGCGAGCAATGGCACTACATCCGGGATGCTCTTTCTCTCGAAAATGTCGTGGCAACCTCGTTGACAAGGATCCCCATATCACCAAACTATAAGGGGTGCGGTCCCAGGCTGTTAAAACTTGTGTTGAATCAGAACTAACAGCACAAAACCTTCTACAGAACTGGACTAAATTCCGTAGCAGATTGCCAACAGAAATTCGTCCGAAAGCAGCGGGAACACCAAAACCTTCTAATTACAATTCAGTGGGGGCTCAACTCTTAATGAAAACGCCAACTGCAGGACTCGACTTGGGGACGGTTTCAGCAGTAGCCATACTATCCGAAGGGGCACAGCAGAGCACGAGCAAACACCGGGATTCGAGGCATCTGATACCTGCTTATATATCAAATACTTCTCGAGAGTATGCAACCCATCCAAAAAACCATTAGTCGCCGACCCTTTATTGGGCGGCGTAAACTTATTTGCTTTATCCATGCAATCTAACACACTTTTGGTCTCCGTGAAGCTCTCATGCATGTACACAAATGCCCAAGGTCTACTCAGCAAATTAGCTGACGCGTCTGCAGCTTGGGACCTCATCACTGTCATCGAAACGTGGTTGTGCTGTGAGATAACGGATGCTGAAATTGCGCTAACGGGCATGTCCGTTGTGCGGAAGGATCGAACCAGCAAAGGTGGTCGGGTAGCCCTTTATTTTCGTAACAACATACAATGCGAATCCATAAAGGATTCGGAAACCGACGTACTTGACGCCCTTTGGTGTAATTTCCGGCTGAGATGGAACGATCTTGGTCTAATGGTTGTCGTTTACTGCCTACCATTGTCTACTCCTGTGATTGACTGCAACTTGGTGGCTGCGTTGAGGCAAGTGATAAACAGGAAGTACAGTCACATTCTAGTCACCGGTGACTTCAACTTGCATGCTCTAGAATCCCAGGCCACACCGGGAGAGCAATTCAAAGCAGATTTGCAAGATCTGGTTTCAGACTTCCCGCTTTATGACCACGTCACTACGCCCACCAGGTTCAGGGGAACTGACAGGCCATCCATGTTGGACCGAATATTCACCAATGAAGAATTGATGGTCGAGAGAGTGAGAACCGCTACTCCTTTGGGTCGCAGTGATCATGCGACGTTAGTGTTTCATTACATGTGCCACGCGGATTATCCTAAAGAGCATGCCGAGGAATATCATGTCGTAACCAACTATGACGACCTGTCCGACCTCATTGATGCAATCAGCTGGTCGTTCTTAGCCGACTTGACCTCTTTGCTGACCTGCGGAGAATTCGTCAACATGTTTAAAATGCTCGTGGCAAGGACATCTGAAACCAAACTCTACCGGCCTAAAAGGATGAGGTCTTTCGTAAGGAGCAGGACATGTAAATGCATGGCATTAAGGGACTTGGCATGGTACACCTACCTAGCCTCCCCGAACGACCATACCTGGAATATCTACACCCTACAACGGAACCACTGTGTCAAACTCGTCCGGGAGGATAAACTGAAGAACCAACACGGTCTAGTGGAAAAGTTTTGCTGCAATCCCAAACTGCTATATAGACACGTAAACAACTTGCGCGTATTCCTGCTCTGCACACAGCATGTGGGCTAGCCCAAACCGCACATGAGGCGGCCAACATCCTTGGACAATAATTTGACCGTACCTTTCAAAGCGTGCAATCATCATACATCTTGCCTAAGCAGATAACGCCGCCATCATGGCTTACTCACATATCGTTCACCACCGCAGCTGTACTGAAGAGGCTGATGTCTCTGCGCGAGTTCAGCTCCCCGGGTGCGGACGGCATTCGCCCGAAGGCGTTGAAAGTTACTGTCAAGAGTTTGTCAGGACCACTAGCAATTTTCTTTCAACGATGTCTGAACGAGGTGCACGTCCCAACGATGTGGAAGCACGGAATCATCACGCCCATCTACAAAAGTGGCAGCCGTGCTGAACCAGCAAATTATCGCCCGATAATACTACTTCCTGTGATTTCCAAGGTTATGGAGTCCATTGTAGCTGAGGCTTTGATGGGGTACCTGAAGAACAACAAAATTCTCGTTCCGGAGCAGCATGGATTTCACCAAAATCGCTCCTGTACCACTAATCTCTTGATTGCTCGTGCAAGCTGGACGGAATCTCTGGACGTTGGTGTAGGAGGCGACGCAGCCTACTTGGATTTCTCAAAGGCATTCGCCCGTAAAACCATCGCATTTTCCTCCAGAATTATAAAATCGGCGATCCTGTTCTGGGCTGGATAGGAGACTTTCTCGTGCGTCACCTTATTGTGAGGGTTCGAAGCAACCTGTCGAAATCCATCGAAGTTCACTGCGGCGTACCTCAAGGCTCGGTACTTGGACCCCGCCTGTTCCTGGTTTTCATAAATGATCTCGCGAGTGTGCTATCTTTCAACTGTTTGCTATTTGCTGATGACCTAAACGTATGGCGCACTATAGCTGCAGTGGAGGATCTCACAGTGTTACAGGAGGACCTGGACAAAGCGCACACATGGTCCATCGAGAACATGCTGCATTTCAACGTCACCAAGTGCAAAGTTCTCAGCATACGGCACAAGAGTATGCACAAGTACCGCCTAGGACCACAAACTCTACAGCGGGCTTCTCACGAGTGCGATCTCGGCGTGATAGTTCAAGATGACCTCGGTTGTTCGAGGCAGAG